GAGGCAGAGTATTCATGATCGCAATTGAACGGAGTATTTGAAAGAAGGGCGTGACTGCCAAATTTTCAGAAATTGAGTTTTTGGCGGAATATTATTCGTTAAGGGTGGACGCATCATTCTACCGAGTAATTCTACCATAATTAACCTTTAAAGGTCTTTTTTAACTCTTAAATATATGTGCTTTAGTAGAAAAAGGGCTTGTTTCGGAGCGTGGCATGTTGATTTTTTATTGATAAGTTTAAAATTAGTGTGTATTAAAATTTACACTTCGCCTCAGACGAGCATTCAAGGTCTGGCAAAATTTCATTTTGAAGCTCTAAGGCTGGTTATAAAGATTAATTTGGGATAACCTCTTTTTTGAGGGAACTGAGACCAAAGAATCATTTATCTTTCATTTATTGAAGCTCACCTTCTCAGAAAAGATAAGGGAATTCTCGAAGGCGGCCAATTCAGAACGAACACTCTTGAAACTAAGAAATTATTACATTGGTTCAATCTCGTTCTCTCACGAATGTGTTCCTCTTTTTCAAGAGGGTATACAATAATCTGATGACATACATACTGAGTCTGTGAGAGATTGAATATCTTAAAATGCTGTTTGGAACAGAGAAAGAGTTCTCATCCACTAAAAAAAGGTTTTGCGGAATCAGGGCCTCGTACGAAGTTATGAATCGTTTCGAATGTTGCCTCTATCTGAACGCATACTCCTTAATCGCATTACGTATAAATATTACCTAATTATTGGTTCTTTATGGAAGTGAAATTAATTGGCCGGGTTTTACCGCAACCGTTGAAAAAATCTCATTGACGGAGGCTCTTTTCTTCTGTCAGTGAAACTAGTGTGGTTAAATGGCTAGGTTGGCCTCAGGCACGTACAATGTCATCCCCGATGCTTGGGAACTGATGCCTCGCAGACAATTATTATCTTGCTGATATAATCTTTATGATTCATTCATTCTTTCCCGCTATTTCTTCCCAGCTGGTTACTTGCTTCCGGAAATGTTTACCCAACTGAATCGATTACTTGCTTGTTCGGAGACTGCCGAGGGTATTTCCGCTTTTCTGTCGTGTGTATCCTATACAGTTGCATATTTGCACAGAAAAATATCCACAAATATTCATTCGTGGGACACACTATCATTGTCTCAAGAAGAATGCAGTTTATACGACATTTCAATACATTTTTGAGCGTAGTCTTAACAAAATTAGTCAATAATTAGGTATCCGACATTATTCTGACGCTTCAACTCATCATTCTTTGTCATAGTTTGATCTGTATACCTTTGTACTAATTTCAACGATGTTTGAGGTCGTTGGCAGGTTATTAAGTTTAAGTTAGTCGCACACTCTAAATTACTAAAATATGATTCTGGTTTTTTAATATTAAGCGGAGATATTGTGAATTTTCATTTTTTGTCATAATGCGTTCCGAAGATCCAATAACTGAATTGTATGAGTTTTGCAGTCATCATTAACTCCTTTTACATTTTTAAAATATGACCCAGAAATCGTCCTTTAGAAGCTGCTCCGCGTACGGCTCAGAGAACGTGCCCTTTAGTTATTTTCAGAACGCAGAAAAATGCAATAGACTCAGCCATAAATAATTTCAAAATAATGACAATTTTTGACACTTTTCTACCCTTGCGTTTAAGTCTCCGAACAATACCATACCATAGGGGTGTTTTGGGCGGTTTTCTAATCTCTCTTCCCTCTTTTTTACTTTCAACTGTGAGCCTATTTTAAGTTAAATAAAGATACCATATATTTTAAGTTAAATAAAGATGCTAGATATTTTAAGTTACCTAAAAAAAGATGTCAGATTTTATAGTCGACACAGAGTATTTTGAATTGAGTTGAATGAAAGATATGTGTGTTTGATTTTTTCCGGCTTCCCTTGCAAGCTCTGTAATGAAGTGAGGAGATCGTGATGTTCCTGTTCATCCGCCAGGTAATTGATGGTAAAGTCTAGGAAATGAACTATTGAACTTCTTCAATGCGTCGTGCAAGTCTCGCGGGTCACCAAAACTTCCTGTTAGGTTCCAATCCTGCTGCATCACCTTCAAGGCTGAAAAAGTCATTCAGTTTCACCTCTTCATTGAACAGAGATGTAATACGTACGCAGAGAAATTCAAAACAGTCTCAGCTAACATAATCCTTGGAAAAATGTCAGCCTGGAGTATATCGATTTATCAAACCCTTCCTGAATTCTGATGATCAAGGAATTTAAGGATGAGAGAAACTTCATTTCAAAAATCATTTTTTACCTGCTAAACCCCAAGGTCATAGGGTTTTCTGCATTTGCAGAGTATTTTAATATTCTCACTATCGGGGCTAATATTTGAAGACTTTATTTGAAATTTGTAACCGAATATGTCGGAATACAGCCGAGTTAAATCAGTATCTGTTTTTGTTCTGCTAAAATCAAAGGATAATATGTTAAATGTAACGACAGTGCTATTATATAAAAAATCAAAATTATTTTTGGCTCAGATTACTCCCTTTTAATAAAAATTCTCGATTTTAGTCTATGCTAATAATGTAAACCGAAAAAAAACTGCTTGAAAAAGTTGGTTCCAGTTATGTCGGTTCTTTTATTTCCTACCTTTCTGAACGCCTGAGGTAAAATAGTCAAAATAATGGTACTTTGTCTCCATAAATCTCTCAGGAGCAACAGAGCTCAACGACACTGCGTCGTGTACTGTTGCAAGTTACATTCTATAAATGGTTTGGAAAGTAACTGCAAGTTGTTTCAAAATACTGACGAAATTGCACCGACGGTGAGCTCCTGAACTCGTAACTGAAACGCTATGATGCGGTTTATTAGTGTGTCTCTTCCTTCCATCGGGTTGTCGGTCTGTGGCATTCGCCTCGCAAGCACCTGAGGTCTCGCAGTTTTCACGGTCAACTTTTCTCAGCTGATAACAGTCTCTTTCCGCGATCTAACTTGACACTTAACTCAAGAATACTTTGTCCTATGTCACTCAAATAACGCTTTTCGTGTCCGCCAGTCACACACTTAGTAAGCAATCATTGGTCTTTATATTGTCGCTTTGTCTTATCATAACACTGTGGAAGTTATAATGCTGGAATATATATTTTACACTTAGTAAGCAATCATTGGTTTTTATATTGAAGCTTCTTCTTATCATAAGTGTGGAAGCTATAATGCTGGAATATATATTTTACACTTATTCAACCCATGCGCATTCCGTTACTTTGGCAGCCATTCCGCGGTTAGCCTCCTTTGGTGAATTCATTATGGCGCTGGCTGAATTATCAGGAGGGTTTGGGTTCGATTTCTTGTCCGGTGACAAAAATTGTATAATCTCAAACAATGATTTTTTCTTAGACCAGTTCACGAGTTGGGACTGAAAGGGATGTGGCTCTAAACGGAGGATCTTGACAGAAATAAAAGAAAAATCTAGTGAGCTTTTGCCACTCGTTAAGAATTATAAAAAAATGCATGTGGACGAAGTATAGGTACTTTTGAAAGTTGACCAAAGTCTACTTTTTTTTGGGAGTGTACAATATTTACGTATGAAAAAAAAGTATTGCAATGAATCAGTATGATAGTAATAAAGTAAAATTCAGGCTTAGCCATACCATTCATTCTAGATAATTTTTGAAAATGTTTTCAGTTTATGCAAAAGGAAAGGCTCGTTAGACCTTCATTTTAGAAAGCTTACTTCCAAGCAACTTTTTGTATTAGGATACAATTTACCTGAAATGAGGAGACATATGAGCGATTTGGACTATTTTCAAATCGTAATAAATAATGTTCGATTTTCTCGAGGGCACAGAACTACCTCGAATTTAGACTTTCTCTTCTTAAAATACATATACTTAATATATCAATGAATATATTCCATTAATTAATATCACTAAACATTGATTGAGAGGATCATTTTGAAGATTTATCAAAATTATAGCGGAACGCAATCGTTCATGCAATTAGCATATTTGTCGTTGCATTGCCTCGAATCTGGTGTCAGGGCCAAAGGCTGACTGAACTTTTGTACTTTAAAAAAAGGGCTATAATTAGTAACGTGAGTCTGACCTACCTCAATCTGTTTGCGTGTGCAGCAGCTTGACCTGCAAGATATTAACTGTGAGTGGAGGAACACTTCTCCAGATGACTAAATCCTACTAAAATAAGAAAATAATTATTCCTTCAGATGTTTGGGATGTATTGAAATGAGACTTCAGATAATGCAATGCATTCTTACCAGGATTATACCCTCGTATGAGAGTTCAAGACACCAGTAAAAGACCCGCAAAATGCATACGCAATGACGTCGGCTTAACCTTATTGACTTTCTGCAATCCCTATAACGATTGTCTCGTCGTATTATTAAACATCTGCTATGACTACATACAACCGTTCTCGATTTTTACGATAAACCCACGCGTTTCTCTGAATTTTTCTGAAAAATCGATGTGATTTTTTGACATATTCGTATTTTAAGTTCTATTTCTCACGAGTATTTTTTGTTTTGAATAAAAATTCATTTCTGGGCGAAACAGACTCACCTGTGATTAAGTTAATTGAGCAGGTGTAAATTTCAATATGGCATTGATCTAGGTGTTGTTAACTCACAACTCGGATCAGACATTTTACAAAGAAAGCGAATCGATACAAAATAGAATAAACAAATTCGCCACTCTATCATTCCCGATGTCTCAGTGTTATTACGTGATTCCCTGTTTAAGTTTCTATTTTTTTGCTTTTTGTCTAACAACTGGTTCGTTAAAGAACTATATGATGTACTTAGAATACTCAGACGAACAGACGATGATAGGGGCGATAACACTTAGACATAAATTACATGTACATACTTTCATGTAATCACAAGATTTTTAAGAAAACTTAGTTCTTCACATGTCGATATGCTACGGCATATTTTATTTATTTAGAGCTTAGATCTATTTTCTCTTCGGAAAAATATTTATGTGTTTAATGATGATCACACCTTGACTCTTTTTTTGGTTTTTTGTTTCAGGTTACAGGAGAATACGTTAGCACTAGTCTTTTGCCAAAGTGAAACACAGACATTTGATGATCTCCGGAAAATGTCTAGTTTAGGATTAATTAACTTTGCTGTGGATAGGTACCATTATTTAGTCGACACAATAAGCGGTAAGTTATTTTTTATTACCTCGTTTCTTAATAAAACCCTTAACTACTAGAACCGTAATTATCACCGAGAAAGATGAGGCTGTAGAGCGACTTTAAATGTTTGTAAATTAATCGAAGCATTAAAAATATTAATCAAATAACAGCCTGGTAACCAAGTTCAAAATTTTCAAAAAAAAGAAAAAAATAAAATAAATAAATAAATAAAAAAAACATTGACTGACTTGACTATGCTGCCGTGCTAGGCAAAAACGCCGCATGAGCTCCCAGGCGTTGCCGAATTTTTCCAATTAAATACGATTTTTCAAAGAATTTGCTGCAATATATTTGTCTTCCAATGTTTCTGAGAATTTTATTCGCTTTTTGAAATAAAGTAAGTGAAGATTTCAAGGAACAATATTTCCAACTTTGCTCAAAAATGGAGAATTTGCAGGTATCTGAAATTGTGTGAATTTCATGTTTAAGAAGGAACTGCTGAGTGAACTGAACATGAGAATATTCCCCGTTTCTAAAATGAGCAACTATTAGAGAGAAGACGACGAATCTATATTATGAGCTAAAAAGAATGTGTTTAAACGGGGAATGCCGCCTGATGACGTCACGAGACAGGAGATTTTCTTTCCTCTAAATTCAAATTTCTACAATTTTCCAAATCAGAAAAAACAGCATGATAAATACTCCGTACTCAGCTCACTAAGCACCATAAAGGGGAGAGAATTTTCGTGAAATTTGTCTATTGCTGTTTTATTAGGGGAAATTTGGCAACTCCCGAGGGCTCATACGGCGTTTCTCCTTAGCACGGGAGTACGCTGCCGCGCTAAGGAAGAACGCCGTATGAGCCTTCAGGCTTTGCCAAATTTCCTCTGGCAAATCACTAATTTTCAAGAAAATTTCTGAATATTTTTCTGTCAATTTCTTATATAATTTTGTTTGTAATTTAATCTGAAGTGTCCTTTTCAAATTTCAAGGAAAAACACTCACAACTTTTCTCAAAAATGAACATTTTATCGACGGAAACTCGGCAACTCTCGAATGTTCATACGGCATGTTTTCTTAGCACGGGAGTATGGGACGGCAGACATTTTTGACCGAGACATTTTGCAGGAGATTTTCTCCCTTTTAAATTCAGATTTCTACAATTCTCCATATCATAAAAAAAATATGAAAAATACACCGTACTCAGTTCACCAAGCATCATAAAGGGGAGAGAATTCTCGTGAAATTTGTCCATTGCTGTTTTATTCGGGGAAGTTTGGCAACTCCTTAGGGCTCATACGACGTTTCTTCTTAGCACGGGAGTATGGGCATTTTTGACCGTGGAAGGGGCGCTGGAGGACGACCGCATCCGAGGATTCGGACGTGGAGGTCCGAGCGCGGGACGCTGACCAGTCGAGCGGCCCGACCCCGGCCCGAAGCCCCCGGCGGCGGCGGCGGCGCGGCGTCGCGACGCAACCGGGCGCCCTGGCTCCGACGCCCGATGCCGATCCCGCGTCCTTGCCGCCGGGATCTGTAGGCCACGCTCACGTGTTTGGCGTGCCACCGTTCTCCGTCGACCGCTCCGCTCGAGTGTCCCGTCCTGTTGCATCTAGGGCGCCCAACACCGCGTCCCATGTTGCCAATTCCCATTCTGCAGTGCTAAGGAAGAACGCCGTATGAACATTCGAGAGTTGACAAATTTCCTTCGATAAAATGTTTATTTTTTAGGGAAGCTATAGATATTTTCACTTGAAATTTTTAGGAATCATAGGTGAAGCTACGAACAAAATTATCTGAAAATTTGAAAGAAAAATATTGACAGATTTTCCCGAAAATCCATGATTTACCAAAGGAAATTTGGCAACGCCTAAAGGTTCATACGGCGTTTTCCCTTAGCACAGCAGTATTGCAGTCTCCATTTTTAACACAAAACACAAAAATAGCCGGAATAATTTAACTAGAAACACAAGAAATCGGGTAACCGAGGTTGAAAAACAACGAAACACCAAGCCGGGGGTGTTTCGGGGTGGGTTCAACCCCCTCCTCAACCAGGATATAAAAACTCATAAAAACTCATTTAAATCAAAATACCTAGATCCCCATTTCGTGATAAAATAACCGCATATTTTGGTTTTCATCATTTTTTATATATTTTTGTTTCCTGGTCGTAGAGGGGGTTGAAATCTCTCCATTTTCATTTATGTACTTTTTTGGGGAAAAATCTCTCTGAATTTTTATATTATGTCTTGTTAAGGTTAGTTTTATTTCATTTTTTTAAAAGATCATCCATGAAAATATCGATGGCCTAAGTGCGAAACCACGTATCTCCGTTCGCGACATTGCAGACTTTCTGCCATACTTTATTTTTGTATTATGAAACTTGTCAACTTTATTTCTTGAAAACTTCCTTGATTTTTCCCCTCTGTTGGGCAAATATTTTGTTTTAATTTTGAGCTGTGAATTTGACTTGTTTTTCTTCGAAAAAATAAAATACGATCAGAGATTTTGAAACACCGCGATGGATGTATGTGGTTTCGTACTTCAGCCATTGATATTGTTAGTCTTCAGTGAGATGAATCGAGTATACCTAGATCTCATCTCTTCGTTTCGGATCTCTAATTAACACAAAGACTGTATCTTTAATGAGCGTCATTCCTTTGGTCAAACCTCTCGATTCAGTACGCAGTATATACAGGCGTCTCGTTGCTATTGCACTACATAGTAAAACTTTGTCCTTCTGCTCAAGATAACTCGTGGTGACCTCTACCATGGGCGAAAGAGACATCAACAGAATAATTGCTCGCATACAGCATGCGATTGTATCAGCGGTATGAAAACTTATAATGCAACGCCATGCCATGCAGCCTAGGTTTGAAGTACTGATCAGCAGATCTTCAGACTCTTAGATTGGTTCGCCTCCATTCAATTACGATTGCTTAATTGACAGAATTTATTTGGAAACTATACTAATATAGGATCCTATATTAACTTACTTTGATGACTTTTCTATTCATCGAAGAAATAAAAAAGGAACACTGGTAAAAAAAACCTCCTGGACCAATGCCGCGGTGCATTGACTTAAGAGTGCAGTTTCTTGTCGCCGGATTTAAGAGTCTTGAACTTTTGTTTCAAGCGGATTTTGCATTAATTCAAGTGGATTTTGCATTGATTCAAGCGGATTTTGCATTGATTCAAGTAGATTTTGCATTGATTCAAGCGGATTTTGTATTGAAACAAGAGTCCAGACTCTTAAATCCGGCGACAAGAAACTGCACTCTTGAACCAAGCGGTTTTTTTTTTACCAGTGAAGGAATTAAATTGATGAGTTAAAATGGAATGAGGCGAAAATAGACACACAGAATATGCTAGACCTTGCTACAAAGGGGTTTAGTCTTCTCTGCGTGCACAAGTAGCAATGAAAGTATCTGCGCAAGCCAAGGAGAAAGTCGAATTTTTGTCTTGTGCAGTGGTGCGGCGTTCTTTGCGATATATCGATTGATCTGTCACTTAAACCTATGTTAAAGGATCGATAAGCAGGGTGTTAGCAACGGACACCTCAATAATCGGTTCTTTAACATAGCTTCAAATGGGGAGAATCGATTATCGTTCGCTCACGCCTCGTTATTGTACGCGAGTTCCCGGAGACTTCAACGCGCGGGTATAAAAGTAGCGAAGATCCTCGGTTCGTTCTACGCCCGGTTTGAACCCGTGTGCGTCGTCGTTTCGCAACGTAGATGTGCGATACTGCGCCAATAATGAAGTTTCGCTCTTTCTCCGTGTCCGTCTCATGTTCACCGTGCCTCCCATCGAAAGTTCATCTTGCATATCCTTGACATCTAACTCGAAGGGACATGACGTAATCTTCCTTCTTCTTATAAACCCCTCCCCGGAGACGAGCGCATCTGAGTGCTTTTTCCTTATCTTTGACGTTTTTTGAGGGCTATATGGACGTATTTCTGCCAAACGGAACCTTGTGCATTAGGACAAGAGCCCTGAGATCCTTAGGGTATATGCATAACAGGGCTCACGTCATAATGCACATAGTTCCGTTTGGCCTCTGCCAAAACTTCTATACGTCCACATATTCCAGAAATACTCGATCAAAACTGGAGTTATTCCTGTTTGCAACTATTCTACCATGCTAAGGAAGAACGCCGCATGAGCCTTCAGACGTTGCCAAGTCTCATTCGATAAAAACAGAATATACTGGAAAAATTCTGAATATTTATTTCCAACATTTTCAGACATTTTGTATGCAATTCAATCTAAAGTATCAAAAAATGTCAAGGAAAAATACCCATAAATGTCGTTAAAAATACGAGCTTTATCAAGGGAAATTTGGCAACTCTCGAATGTTCATACGGCGTTTTTCCTTTAGCACGGCAGTATTAATAGCCATAAACTTTTGACCTATTGAGCCCGCTTGAAATTGTCGTTTGCTGGTATCCGGTGACTAAAAAAACTTTTCCCGGACGCGAAAAATTTGAATAAAGGGATTCAAACTCCGTAATTTTCTCACTAAAAAGAGGTTTTCAGACTATTTTCCAATGTGACCGCCGTGATTTTCGTGTCTGTTCTTTGAGAGTCTATTGAAATCCTCCTATAATAACAAAAATGATTCCCATTGATAATAAATTTAATGGAATTGAGCAATAACAAAATAGGTATCATGTAAACACACATTGACAGAAGTTTTACCCAGAAAATCCCAGTCAAACCTCCGATAGTAAATAAAAATATAAGCCCCGTAAACCAAAGAACAAGATAACTAGACTTATTAGATTTTATTCCACCTACAGTAGCCTCTTACCTAAGACCTGTTAATGATGGAAACCCACATTTCAATCATTGAGCAGCGGAGAAATGCCAATTCCTCCATTATGACCGGGAGAATATCTAGCATCTTCATTCCGATCTCAGAAAGAGTGGCGAAGATGACCAAGGGTGAGATGAGCCAGGATCGAGTGCCCCCGCTGGACAACTGGAGCGATGACTAGACCGAGGTTGAGCAGATTCGAATGTAGTTC